ACTCACACGCCAGGACGAGCCTTGACAGCAAGACACGAGAATTAGAAAGGGATTCATTCGTCTTACAGCAGCAGATCGAGACAGGCCAGAAGCGCCAGCCAGGAACTCCTGCGGTCGAACCAAACAATTGAATCTGAATCGGTTCTTGCTAGGCTCTTTATAGAAAGGCCGATGAAACTGAATCAAATAGATGCCACATCTGATCCCAAAAAGCAAAAAAGGCTCGTCGAACGAGTAGCCTTTAAAATGAAAGAGTAAACCGATGACATGCCTTATTCAATCCACTGCTTTGAAAGACCTTACTACCTACTTGCCGGGGTACTGACTTGAGCAATGAGAGGATTCAATGGCAGAGGCACGAAGTGAAGCAGCTTTCCCAACCCAGGTTCAGAAGCAGAATGGGGCAAGGCCGAGGAACCGCCATCTCTTTTCATTTCGTGGGGTGACGGGTTCCTATACGAGTCTGGAAGGAATCAAAGACTTATGGATGATGTCTTCGGGAGTTTAGTTCCTGCGATGACCCGTAGCCCTTCTATTTATAGATTCAAGGTCCCTGCAAAAGCTTCGGCAAAGCCCAATCAAAGAGAAAATAAAAAGCAATGACTAGACCGGCAGAAGTTGACGTTTAAGGCAAACAAAAGGCGTTTTAGGTTAGGAAAGAGTCATTCATGTAATGTCAGCCTAGAAGTTCAAGAAAAATTCATTCTTTTCAGGTCAGAATCTGATTGATTTAGCCCTCCCTCAAGTGGTATATCCTTGGTTAACCGACATGTGAGATTGTATTTTAGATATTGTCTCGCGGCAGAAATGAGAGCATTGACATTCAATCTGGCATATTCTCTTACGAAATTGAGTTCTTAGGTCTCAAAGCCTGATTGATGCGTTGTACCATCCACTGCCTAAAAGAACTACCCTTTGGTAAAGAAATCCTAAAGAAATTCCAGGTAAAGTCCATTTATGTTCAAATCTCTAGTGTAGTGGCTGCTTCCTCTACAACTACATCATAAGAAGAAGGCAAAAGGGGAAGGCGACCTGGCTGACTTGATTCTTTGTTGAGCTTGCCTATTTCCTTGTGTTCTACGCTTTAACTGGAACCAGTGCTTTTAGAGTGACTTTCCCACCCTAGGAGAAGGCAGGAGGAAAGTCTTGCTTTCTGGCTAAGACATCCGATCGATCAGGTGAAAACGACTTCTAAGAACGGTTTTTTCCCGCAAATTGCATAAGATAAGCATTCAGCATCTTGTCTTTGTCTCTTCTTTCTCTCACTGGATTATGAAGGAATTGGATTGAGAAGCTCCGCCCAGTAGTGCTCTTTGAGCTTGATTGCTCCGAGCCGGTCCCCGGTAGTGTAAGATCTTCCTGCCATAATTCATGTTGAGAAAGTACGGTTTGAAAGAGATTAGAGGAGAAGGAAGAAAGGAAAAAGAAGAAAATGAACCAAGACCCCCGGAAAATGCAATTTGGTTGATGTGCCAGCCCCTTGCTTATCTCATTCCAGCTTATTTTTACGTAAATAAGACCAAGACCAAGTATTACCAATTCCCATCGAGAAAGCAAGCAATAAAGGAGCAGCCTAAAAATACAAATAATAGTAGGTAGAGTATTCATAAACAAGCATAGGAACAGGTTCCCACGAGTAATAATAAGGAAAAAACCTCACTTAAGAAGAAGGACATGGGGCGGGGCGATTAACCACTACAAACAAGCTGAGGATTTGAGATAGATAGAAAGGAGTCCAATCTAAGCAAGCTTAGTGAAGGGAGAAACAATCCTACTAGTAAGCAAGTATAAGCAAGCGAGGTTATGTATTGGGTGGTATCAGTGGTACAGATTTCTTGGTGTCTGTTCTAGGTTTGACACAACCTAAAGCAGGACGTGGTATCGTGCTTCCTAGTGTTTTGATACACTTTGGAGAAGATCCCACGGTTACGACCATCAGCTTAGTTACCCTAGCACACACAATAAGGGGGCTCAGAAAACTTATAAATAAACTTAGCCATATCCTTCATTTCAGTACTTTTGCTCCCTTCAACACATCCCTCTACTCAACTTGGTAACCTTCTCCGATCCGTTCTTAGCTCAGTCTTTGAACAGGAAATTAATCAGAGAAAGAAAGGCCTAGCCGATGCTTTCAATCTTCGTGTTCTCTTGTCCCCGCAAGAAGGAGATGAAAATCACTGGAATGAGGACCCAGCTCTATACTTACACTCTGCAGGCGCTAGCCAGGGAAATTTCCACTCTAAGGGGAGCCTTTGAGGAGAGAAAGCCCCTCCGAATGAGAGAAGGATTATTGAAAGCTATCGCCCTTTCTCTTTTTTTAGAATGAGAAGTTGCACTTGGATAGGCCAGAAGGGAGTATGCCACCATCCGCCAAGGAAGGAAAGATTCGCTTATAACAGATACTTCACCCGAGACCAATGAAAGGAGAACTTGACACAGTGCTATAAGGAACAAAGCAAACAAGCAAAGCAAGAGAGCCCTTTCCCGTTCCGGCAAGGTAAGGGATAGGGTTTTCATACTCATTTTTTGAAAAACTATAATTCATAAGGGAGCTTGAGTGTTAAGTTCTGTGCATAAAACTAATTTGTCCTAAGGGTTTAGGTCAGGCTTTGTTTTGAGAGAAGGAAACTGTCTTAATGCCGCAAGAATAGGTTTTGCCAAGTGAAAGAGCTGTGAGGGAGGGTTATGCATAATATAGAGTAATCCTCTAAAGGCCAATGTTACTAAGCAAAAACAAGAGATAGGTGAAGTCTAATACCTTTTTAAGGGGATTCTGTTCCTATTCGTCCAAAGAGGGCATTCACAGCCTATTCGATAGCATTTGTCCTATTCGGGGATATCCTTACTGCGGATTCGTTCACAGCGCTTATTCCCCTAAGAGCGGACTAAATGTCCTTTCCTTTCGTGGATATTGGATCAGATCCTGTGGCATTCAAAAGGAGGAATTGCACAACTAGAATAAGAGGGTGGACATTCATGCCCCGAATAGGCTCTTTTCGAAGTAAATAGGTCCTTCTTCCCCCTTCCCCGTGATGGGATAGGCTCTGAGATGGACATGGACAGAAAAGGTTGCACCTTAGAGAAAGTAGCTAGTCCTGTCCTCGTTAGGGTTAGGGAAGGACCTGATTGCCCCTTTTGCCTTGCCTTTCTTACTGGATTACCTTCTTTACTTTCTTTTATTTCCTTTCGGGGATTACCTGATTACGCTACCGCCTCTTATGAAAAAGGAATTTATAGACCAATGTGGGAATACCATGACATAGTTTCTCTAAGAGGAGTAGGAGGAAGAATCAATAGTTAGTTGATACCACTCACAGGGCGTAGCCAAATCCTAATTGATATGGAATTCCCTAAACAGTCGTAAGTCCGACAATTGGTCTTTAGCCTTTCGGAATAGAAAAGGCAGCTAGGTAAGGGAATAAAGAGACTAGGCTCTTAGCCTTTAGGAATCCATGCCAGGGCGCCTCTCTTAAAGCAGAAAAAACAAGATCTCCAGTGCCTCAGCTAGTGAACTAGGTATAAGTTCCGTTCCTATGGAGTTAAATCAGGCATTCGTTGGAAAATGAATCTCAGATGTCCATCCATCCCATTCTATGGCATCTTATCTTATTCTATTTCATTTGCTTCTGTCTTGAACCTTCCACCCAGAGTTTCTTCTTCTTCAATTGCAAAGGGAAGAGGAGATTCTAGCACAACAGATTCTGGGCATGTCCCACTATTGGCTTTCAGGTAAGTGACGGGCTATTATCCCACGGATCGGTAATCCGCATCTAATAATCCCTGGAAAATGAGAAAGATTAGTCAGATCAGGGGGAAGCTGGTGCTATAGCCGTTGTTCAAGAATGGCTTTTGTTCAATCAGACGCTCTTGCTTAAAAAGCTCTCGTAACCGGTGCTTCCTATTGATGCGACGGTAACTCGATATAGAATATTTTAAGATAAGAAAGAAAGTTGCCTAGGGCAGATGAAAGGAATGCTGAAAGGCTATCCGAGTTCACAGGCGTAGTTGCGTGTACTTCATGGATATTCAGTTTGTGTTCCGTGTACCGCACCGCAGCTTGTGTAGCCTATGCGAAGCAAGCCTACATAGGGTACAAGATCGAAAAGAATACCCATTCAGGAATACTAATACGTAATAGTAAGAACAACATACTAATTAAAGGTTGAAGTAGTAGCTAATCACTAAAAAAATAATAGGGAGGAAGAAATAAGAGGAAGTAATCATAATGGTAAACCAGAGTATAAGCTTGATCCGCCTTCACTTCACTTACACAATTTCTTGAGTTAGACCTAAACTAATATGGACTCAGAGGCCAAGAGTTCCGACTATCGAACTATCGAATTAAAGAAGCGCGAGCTCTACTGTATCTACGCTATTGCCCGATCATAGCTGTCTTATGGGAGTAGTGATCCCCATTCGAGTAGGGCAAAAGAGGACAAGCGGAAAGGGCATGCGAAGAAAGGTGGAGTACTTTCTTACTTGGCTCTGGATTGTTCTGCTCCAAGGCATATAGCTCCATCTTGATTTAACCTTCCTATAGAGATCTTTTTTTATATGTGGGTGACATTAGATTGACAGGAAGTCTTTCCACTTTACTCTCCTACAGTCTTTCGGAAAAACAAATGCCATGAAGGACTTAGGAAAGATTTTATTGGTATTCACGCTCATCGGACTGAAGTTGGTCTTCACTTATCTCAGCAGAAGTCTTTTCATGATCTTTTCATAAAGTTGAATCTAGCCAATGCAAACTCAACTCAGTTATTAATCCTATATCAATCGTTGTCGCTGCCTTTATCCAGAACAGAACTTCATACCCTGTCCGACTCGCCAGGTCAAAGCCAAGCTTGAGTTAAGCGAGTCTAAAAGGAGAAAAAGAAAGAGCTGCCATCAGTACAGCCATACTGAGATACCGTAGCTACTGTTATACCGTTGAAAAAGGTAACCGACCTCTAAGATCTCTCCTCTCATGTCTGGAAGCGTAAGAACTGCTCTGAAACGGCATGAAATACCTACAAGGACAAGGCAAAGAGAAAGAGACCGTCCAAAGGCACATTCAAGGAAGTAAGCCAGTTCAGAAAGCCCATCTTCCTTCCTCTAGGAGAATGCTGCGAAAGGGGACGAAGCATGGCACGAGGACCTTAGCAATACCTGTTAGGAAAGTAATCTCTCATCAAAAGTCTTATGTACGTCTTTCGTCTGCGCCTTTGCTTCTGAAGCTTGCTTTCCTGCGTCTCTTACGATGGCTTGCTTGCTAACGAGCAGAGGGAGGGCGTGCTACGAGCTTCCGGTGGACCAAGTTCTGATAAAACAGCGTATTTTCCGATCTACGTGTAGTGCAAGATGCTGGGTGGCATGGAACCACTGGTAATTAATCCATCCGCTGATGGTATGAGCGGCACATACCCGACCCTTTCTTCACTGGAAGTGACATAAAAAATAGAGCTGAATCAAAAAGAAAGATGTCAGGTGTTGATGAATACTTATTTTATCCCCTATGCGCACGGAAAGGGAAAGCTATAGTCTGATAGGCCCGGAAATGCTTCTTATTGGTTCCCTGCCCCCTATCGATGTGAATGGATTTTTAGACTAAACCCAAGACTATGCTGCTGCACATGAAAAGAATTTGCTCTTAGGTGCCTAGCCCGAAGAAGGGAAGACGAGGCATAGCAAAGGCTAAGGCGATGGAAGCAAGACTGAGTCCCTGTGGAGAAGGCCAATTTTGCTTTGATACGAAGGAGTTCATTAGCTGGTTGGTAGGCTGCTTCTTGTTCAGTATTTGTATTGGATTTGTTTTCTGCTTTGCTTTTTTGGGTCCTCCCCCACGAACCGAGAAAAAGGCTGAAATTTTCTATCTACTCCTAGCTGGGGAAGACCTACACCAGACTTTACTAGCTTATAAACGTCCAGTCCAGGGACTGCTCTTGATTTGATAGTCCACTTTCTTGAACTAGCGGAACTGGAACTGGCTTTGGATCCACCATTGCTTCTCCTGCTCTCGATTCCGCTTCTTAGCGGCCACCCAGTCTTTCTTTTACCTTATTAGGCCAGGACACCCTCGCTTATTGCAAGAGCAGGAAAGCTAAGAAACTTCAAAATGAAGGTGACGAAGGATAGCATTCATCCCCATATGGATGGGAAAGGGCTTATTTCAAATTGAAGACTTTCACCAGATGTCGTGGACCTGGCTTGCTTACTTCATTTTACGATAATCCAAGTGGAGCTCTGGTATTGGTAGAACTACTTATTCATTAATTCCCACATTGGGCGTGGGACTTAGAAGTTATAAGACTTGAGGGGGAAGCCAGTGCCTCGGACGTGGCCCTTCCTTCAATCAAAGAAGAAGCAAAAGAAAGAAAGGGAACCCTTAGACGAGACGGGAGCATACAAAAGGAAGCCCATACCCTCCCTCGAAAGAAGGCATTGAACGAATAGAACAAACCTTAACCCTTAGCGATCGGGAGATAGTAGTTGTATCGCCCGAACGAGAAATCAGAGGGAAATCCACGTTTTTGTTTGTTAAATCCATGGTTTTGCAACATGGGAGTCTTAAGCATATTAAAACGACAAAACAGCCCCAATCCCTTTTGCTTTAGATGCAAGTCTTATAACAACTGCTAGGGCGGAACTGCTTAAGGGAAGGGCTAAAAGCAAACATTTACTTTTTTTTCTCTCTATGGTGGGAAGGGAAGTCCTAGAGTTTAAGCGGATATGCTATACTGCTGGACCGGAGGTAGGACTAGCTATTGTTAAGCACGAGGCTTAAACCATACATGATGGATTATTTCCGGTGCTAGTGTTGAAGCGGATAGAGTGGGAAGGCTAGAGTTAATGCCTACCTTTCAATAAGACTACAGTTTACCTTTCCTAATCCTAAAGCAAGAAGGCATAGAGTCGATCTACCTATGACGCTTGTCAATGGATTTGCTTACATGATAGTGATGCTAATGGAAGACCTTTTTTAGTGGTTTAGGGGGTAACACCCCTGTCGACTGACTGGTTACCTAGAGCATTCCCCTCATCTAACTTCACTCACTTGAAAGAGGTATTCACTCTAATAAGGCATTCATGAGCTTACCTGTAACCTGTAACTGGACTAAGCTCGCTTTCCCCTAACTCTACTCTGGACAGCTTCTTGCTTCTATTTAAAAGCGGATTCGCCGACTTTTCTAGGCTTGAAGCCCTCTCTTCTCGCTCATTCCCGACTAATGGCAACCTTCACTAGTCCGGTATTATAGCTTTTTTTGAACCAACTTCAATTTCAACCCTCATCAAATCCAGATACCAATCCAATGAGTTCGATGATCTTTCCTAGAGCTAGAGCAGAGTTAGGAAGGGATTGATGAATGGGATTGGTCTGAACTCTCGCTCGGATGGTTGACTCCCGCCGCCGACAGATGTCCCATGCCACCTTTCGTGAACAGCTATGCCCGAGAATGAATGAATTGTGATATAGCGCTGAATAAGCCACTGCTCTATTCCCGACTCGAAATCTATAAAGGGCTTTAAGGAAGAGAAAAGAGGGGTCCCTACACCATACTTCCTGCTGCCCCGGGGAGGTAGTCTTATTTATGAGATGAGATTTAAGCAATCTCAGATTGACTGCTATTCCCACTCGGTAAGCCTGAAAATGGGGAATCCTTCCTTTAGCCTAGCCCTTCGGTAAACATTCAAACTGACACGGCTATCTCACTCTTCAACTCCTAGCTCTAAGAACAAGAGTTAACGGGGAGCGCATTCAACCACATTCAACTGCTAACATCTAGGCAATATGCAATATTGCTGTTATCCCAATAGTCTTGATATTCCCGGTATTCTGCTATCTACGATTTCCTTCTCTTACTGTTGCAGAAAGACAGAATTAAGACTGTAGGGAAGAATTTGTGTGTTATCAACCAAGGAGTGCCTGGTAGGATGTCGTGGGTGCCTACCTGGAAGGCTCTTCCAACCCGGTTGAGAAATTTGTCAACAGGAGGGGTCCGAAGGCGCTGGCGAAAGCTAGGTCATGTTTTCCGTCTCTCGCTTTTGAAGTGGATTCTTTCTCTTACATGATCCAGGTGATGCGTACCAGTGGATACCCGGTTACTCAAGGTCTATTATGGCCAGAGCGAATCGGGTTTGTTTCCATTCTGCGAAAAGAATGATGCATTCTCCTGTATGGATGAAATGAAATTCAGGAGGACTGTGTCCTCTTCTTTAAAAGAGCTATCAGCAGAACAAAAACCTCGGAAGATGGGCCGACTAGGTCAGGTTGTTGAGGGAGGTGGCAAAAGCCTTCTATTCGCCATTGGGAACTACCTTAATCAGAGGTTGTTACACCCCTTACATGTTTGGGTGGCGGAGGTCTTAAGACGTCTCCCCCAAGATGGGACTTTTAACCAAACACAGCCTTTTGATCGACTGGTTGGCAGTAGGCACTCTTTCTCCTTTGACTTAAAGTTGGCCACTGATCGTTGGCCTTTAGTCTTTCTGTTTTGAGGTGGTGCAGTACCTATTTGACCGCTCCTTTGCCTCAAGTGTGGTTAATTCTGCATTTGCATGCAATATCTTTGTTGTTAAACTTAAACGAAGGTTCTCTCAAGTATGCTTTGTGGCAGGGCAGCCGTTGGGATATCACGGTTCTTGGCCTACTTTCGCGCTATCACACCATATATTAATGTGGTGGTGTACGGAACAGGTGCACCCTGGTGTACGCTTTACATCGTACGCGGTACTCGGTGATGATGTTGTCATTGCCGATCAGGAAGTCGCCAAAGTCTATGAATCTGCTTTGGGTGGATTGGGGGTAACAATAAGTTCTCAAAAGTCCTTGATCGGTTCTGCGGAGTTTGCTAAATGCTTCAGGGTTAGGGAATTGAGAAAAGATCTCTCTCCTATCTCAATTCGGAGTTTTTGAAACTCCCACCATCCATGTGGATCCATGGCGGTTCATATGAAGTACCCTTTCCAGCGGTTTTCTACCCTTGCTCGGGTGGCTGGTGCTAATTACCGTCTTTTGGCACGCTTGGACCATCACCGGTCGGCGCACTATGGGCGCCTCTGGGCGATGTGGATTAAGATGGAAATGCCGTTCAATCTTTGGATTAGGCGGGGCCGTCTTCTCAATCCATATATAAGTGGTGTAATTCTCGACTTCCTAAGGAAGGAAAGGAGGCCCAGGGATCTTAAACTAGTCCCAGATGAGTTGTTTTCTCAACCTGGGATGAAAACTTCTCTTCATTCGTGGAGTCTTCCCCTCGTTCCTTTTATCTTGGACATCTCACTTGGAATGCAATGCATTCTTTTCGATCTTTACTAAGGTAAACGGAACACCAACCCAATCTCGACTTAGACCAAATCACTTTCCTTTATCTCAGTTGCTTGCAGTTAGAGTTTTTTGAAAAAGTAGTTCTCTCCTCATCCCGTATTTCCGACTGCAAGAAGAAAATGAAGTATGGGATGCCCCGCGAAAAACCTCGCCCTTTTGCTCCTTTTTCCTTGTAAAGCCTTACTGACTGCTACTGTTCCCTAACAACCGAGTTCCCCCGTTTGGAGCCACGTCGTCGTATAGTATAGCATGCTAAGAAGGTACCATACCCTTAAGGGCACCGAGTTAGCGACCGAAGTAGTTTCGTAAGACAGACCCCGTTGGGTGAGCACACCAATGATTTGCTTCCGCAAATGACAGCCGTCTTGTACAGCAGGCATCTCTTTTTCATTCTCTCACTTTCCCCTAGTTCCTTGGCCCCCTCAGAATGGTTACTGGACAAGGGCAGAGCGAGCTAGACTCCCATAACATGTACAAGAGTGGTATGATTGAACTAAGCTACTTTATTAGAGGCCAGGTAGTGTTCTGTCATCACTTAATGCAATTTCCACTTTTCATAATCATGTGTAACCCCCTAGATGAGGATATGAAAGTCTTGTTATTGGCTAGCAGTAAGTAAGAAGCTTGCTACAAGATATAGTATGCACGGGAAGGCTGTTTGAAGACGATTATATCATCTGATCGGGGAATTAACTTCCTGAGAGTAAGATTAGACAGTTCCATTTAGTCGAGATGACTCAGGAAGAGTAAGATCCTCACTCGGTCGTGACTCGGTTTACCAATCGAAGTCCTCCGCCTTGAACTTCCTGCTTGACTCGATCTTGAATTTCATGATGGAATTCTCTCCCAGAGCAGCGGAACTAACGACTCCTACAGTTACTAGAAAACAACTTGAGAGTTTTTTCCTAATTCTTTTTTCTAGTTATAAGAGTCGCTATTTAAGCCATAACAGTCGTGGTATTGGGGCTGTAGTTTTTGAAGTCGAGAACCTCTTTACTCGTGATCGTGAGAACATTCACCTTAGTGATAGTGACATATTACAAATTCAAGGGGACTTGTTGAATGGCTCCTATTCATTCTCTCCTTTAAAGGAGGTTCAATCTCCTTTTGACCCTTTCAGTTTGCATCCTTTTTATGATTCAGTACTGGATCTCTCGTCGAAAGCGCTTCAAAATTGAATATGGGGTCGGATGGCAACCCCGTGGTACCGGATAGAACTGTGCTTGTGGCTGAACCAAGGGATGAACTCGTCTGTAGGGCTCTCGGTGCCGTCTTGAATCAGAAACTGCCTTCCTCATCTTCTAACTATTTTCAAGAGGAAGATAATAGTGAAATTTCTTTTTGGAGTCGGGTCCTGGACTGGAACAATAGGCTAGGCCCACTCGCAAAGATCGATCTAATTGATATTCACCACATTCACATGAGCGCGGACCACCTAACCCTTTTGGAACGACTTGAGCTTCACTTACATCTTACATCCCGAGGTCTTAGATTGGGTTTCCGCATTCTTAGAAATGCCGACGATTAGGAATAGCGGTGAATTGGAAGAATGGGGAGAAGAAGAACTGAGAAACCTGGCAGGCTTCGCCAACTTCTCCCCCTTGGGCCTTGTCTTACTGCGGTTCCTTCTGGAAAAGATAGTCTTCCCACAACTCGAGGAAAGAATCCCGGGGCTGGAATATGCTTGCTGGAAAGGCTGGATCATCAAGCCTACCCCTCTGTTATCCACGTTGAGACCCTTGGAAGGGGTTAGCCCTCAATCTACTGGAGATGAATACGATGATTACGAATCCTACACGTACGTACTTGACGAAAGAGATCCCTTGAGGGGCGAAATAGTCCCTGGAGGCGTCGGAGTGGACTTTGAAGGAACGATGATCGCCTTGAACATGAACATGAAAGGGGAAGTAGTAATTCATGATAGTAAAACGGGCGCCACTCTATCAGGCACCAACAGAATGGAAATTAGCTTTCCCCGCGCATAGCTTTCATTATAACAAGTCTCCTTTGAGTGACAGTTTGGGTAGGGGGACGGGAGCGAGAGCTTTACCTATGACCGATAATTTAACCTTCCTACAGGAAAAAAACGAAAAAAAAAAAAAGATTACGTGATTGGTCTCAAAGATGATGATCAGACAGGCAAGTCTAGCTCACAAGCTAAGTTTAGAAAATCCGTGGATCAATGTTTGGTAGCCCTTATCAAAAGATTGGATTCCCACATGTGGGACAGCTTAGACGAGGTCTGCTTGGCGTCCCTGTTGAGACAAGGAAAGGTCTTTAGAAAGCTTACCCTCTTTATGAAAATGATTTACGAGATCCTTTTTCTTTGAGTTTGTAGTAAATAAAAAAAAGTACCTGTCTGTGGGATTCGACTTGCCAACTGATCCGAGTTGGGTCAGGAAAGGAAGGCTCAAAAGCCAAGTCGGTTTGAAGTCGGACATTGATTCTGATGGTCATACATACTTGTTTAGCAGACCTTCTGCTGAAAGCCTTCAAAATACTCTTCCAGTCGCTTACCTACCTTGAGGAGTTACTCTTTTTCTGGTGTGCCAGTATCAACAAACATGGTTTTCCCAGCTTAGCAAAAGGGTGCTCCTAAGTAAAAAGAAGAAAGAGCTTCTCTTGAGGCGTTAGAGTTTTCCAAGTACTGGTATGAGTTTCCCACCTGGACCCGGACTGTGACTTCTTGACTTCATTGATTTACGCAATCCCTGCTCGGAACTCCAAAAGTTGATGTCAAAAGCGTCCTTTTCCGAACCTTAGAATCAGTCGATAGGGGGAACAAGGATCTATGTCTCCAAACACCAATTAATGGGTACGGACCCTCCAGCTCTTGATGAAAGGGTTGCCGAAGTCCCTATCACTATGGGAGGGGAGGGCATTGGTAAACCTGAGTTTATGAAGTGATAGCTGTTCTTTTCTCCTTTCCGTCCTGTCCTTACTGGTTTTGGAGCTTTCTTTCTTGCTGCTGAGCTAGTGCTCTCAATAATAAGGGAAAAAAGGCTGCTCGCCTAACCCTTTAGAGGTGGGATCACTGACTGGCTGTTCCAGAACGGAAATACCCGGCTAAAGATTATGACAAAGAAAGCTCCTCAGATGGGGTTTAAAATCATAGAATTTAGGGTGCAACCCTACTTCGGTCTTTTTCTGAAAGGGTTTTCTGTCTGAAAGCGATGTTACAGCCTCGCCTTTAAGGGTAGGAGCGAAAGAAGCTCTTTACCGGCCTTAGCCTAGCTGACTTAGGAGTTCTTCCTGAATGACTTTCTTTCCAAAGCAAGAAAACTCACTTCCAACTAGCCGCATTCTCCTGTATCTGTAGCGGAGGAGGCTTATTAGAGCCAAGGTTGCCTTCTTTAACTGAATGTGTGTGTTAAACTGGAGCTCCCACCTTTGAAAGAGTTCTTTCATCGTCCTCTCAACGAAGGAGGGCCCCTTCGCTTTCTTAACGACCACGAGTTGGTCTTTTAGATTGGCGTAGGCAAGGTCCTTACTATTTTCACGCATGACATGAGGGATAAAAACCTCACTAGTATTTGAACTGGAATGCCAGGCGGAGGAGTGTAACTGCCTTATCGCGCTATCCGACTTGTATGTGAAAAGCATTTCGTACTCGTAACTGATCCCTTCCTAGCGAAAGGTGTGCTCCAATTGAACATGGCAAAAAGAAAGAAAAGATAGGCCAGCCGGGAAGCAGGATAGAAGTTGTACTCTTGTCGCGAAACCTCATTCCCAGACGACCTTCACGCTACAACTTCGAGACCAGACCTTCGAAAGACTCTCTTTGAAGAATGGGGAAAAGGATTTCTTTTAGAATGCCCAGCTGCAGCAGTAGCAATATACTTTATTTAAGAGCTGCTCTCTCACTGTCGGGTGTTAGTTCCTATTGTATCGTCCTTATGCCTTGTGGTTGAAAGACCTCTCTCCAGAAAGGGAATCTTTGAATGCAGATACCAAAAACCAATGCTTTAACAGTTCCGCCACCTCACTGCCCCAGCTTGAGAATCAACCTTGTAATCCGAATGTCCGATTGACTGCCACTAATTGGTGTTAGGATCCGAAGGTATCTGCCCTTATTCATTCCACGAATGTAAGACTGAGTATATTGTTGCTATGTTTTCGAGACTGTGCAGTAGTTTCCCTTCCAGGTCTTGAGACAGATAGGGATAGGGAATCGCCTTGAATGGATCTCCACCCTGGTTAGTAGTTCTAATGGACCATCCAATTTGACAGTTAGAAAGTAGACCCTCTAACGATGAGAAGCTAGAAGAAGTTCTAAGACGTCGTCTCGTCCCTTACCCAGGAAGCCCCGCAGGGATTGCCTGAAGCTGAAAACCTTACGTTGACTGACACTTTCTTTCTATACGCAAGTCATTCCATTCTAGTTCCAGGAGAGGAGAAGAGGAAGAATCAAGGCATTCAGTCTTTCCAAGCTCAGTGCGTCGGGCATAGAAAGGTTCGTACGGAGAGATTCCATCAACGGAAATTTTCCTGTTCAAAAGAAGATCTCTGCCAGGGTTCAGTGCCACATTAAAGGAAGGCTCAAAGCCAGGCTTTAGGAAAGATTCACTACGTATCACTATTAATATTCA